GTGCACTAGTGCAAAATGGCTGTGCGTTAGCACCATACATCAGTGGTAGGAGTTTTGACGTATTGGTCAAATGTGTAGTGAAGTTGCTACTTTAGTACATGTTGGACAAGTACTGAACCAATTATTACTAAGGGCCCATTKGGTTCGGGAATAGGGGTCTGAAATCAGAATTGGAATGGATTGTACTGGTTCCAACTGTTTGGTTGGGTGGAATCGAATCCTATTCCCGTTTCTGCTGGAATGGCAATATGGCATTTCCCCATTTGAGGGAATGGCCATTCTCTCCCCCTCTTCCCTTCCCTTAAGAATTATCTCATTCCTTATTCAAATTTTGATTCTGATTCCTATCTGAACCAAACAAATTATGGGAATAAACTATTCCAATTCTAGTTCTAAGGGATTTTAACTCAGCTTCTTATTTCAAATGCAAATCAAATGGACAGGTGGCATTTGATAATACTTTTTAGACTTTTGAAGTTTGAATATGTTGCTTTTCAGATGCCACCTATGTTTGGTTGAGTCTAAAAATTCAGATCCAAAATGCATTTTTAGATTTGAATTTGTAAGAGGCAGGCCAATGACTCAATGCACGCTCAGACGTTTTACAAACCGTGTTAATAGACAAAAATGCCCATCCTCGATTTTCCTCACCCTCTCCCTCTCTCTCTCTCTCCCCCTATATTCTTGCCACTACCGCTGCAAGTGGCATTCGATTTCCCACAACCTCTCCCTCTCCCTCCCCCTCTCTCTCTCTCTCCTTGTCTTTTCATCACCGCTATTGTAACTCTCAGTAGCGGCATTTCCCTCTCTCTCTCTCTCCCCTTGTCTTCCCACCACCGCCGCTGCAACTCTCAACAATGGCATTTCCCTCTCCCTCTCTCTCTCTCTCCCCTCATCTTCTCACCACCGCCGTTGCAAAGAGTTGTAGCAGCATTCGTTTTCCCTTACCCTCACCCTCTCTCTCTCTCTCTCTCTCTCTCTCTCTCTTGTCTTCCTGTCACCGTCGCTACAACTCTTAGCAACGGTGTTCGGGTTCCCTCTCCCTTTCTCCCTCACTCTCTCTCTCCCCTTGCCTTTCCACCACAGCCGCTGCAACTCTTAGTAGTGGTGTTCGAATTTTATTCTTAATAATTTA